ATAGGAACCAAGTTGGTTCATCCTGTTTCCTCAAAATAGCCCCCATTGGGTAATAGTAAGCTTTTGTTTCTAGCAGTTTCTAGATTCTACTTCATTTATGAAAGGTAAAGAGTGAAGTAACTGCCTATCTAGTGCAGCTCATTTTTGGCCAAGTGAAGAAGTTGGAATAGGGAAGCCTTGGGTCAACTTACTGATGGGGAGCAACTAATGGCTCTGTCCAGTAAGCCATTTCCTTGAGGGAACATTTCAGAAATGAGTTTCCTATGTTTGTACCCCAGTCTCTCTCATGCTTTTCAGGAGAGCAAAAGTAGCAAGGGTTCATTCAACTTTTTAATGTCTCCAGAGTAACAAGAGGTATTCTTATTGTCTTTTATGATTAATGTGAGAGGTTTGGGACATTCAGATTCTCTTGAAAGTTCTGTGATGATATTTGACTAAAATAGGGAAGAGACAGAGACAAGAGTGAGGCACATCACTGAGGTACACACACTCTCCCCACATAAGATCCTGAAGTGCATATGTGCTGCTTCATCTGCCTGGAGAGCTCTCTGTACCTTCTTTTAGAAGTCTAATCAATCACAGGTTGGGGTTTTACTTAATGTAGCCAGCCTCAATTGTCCTCCAGTAATCCTTGCCTCCTGCTATACTTGTCTTGTGTAGTGTCTGTCCCCACATTGAATCTATGGACAGTAAAATATGGCAAAAGTGACAGTGTGTAACTTCCTAGGCTAGGTAATAGCTTCCACCTTGGTCTCTTAGATTGTTTGCTCTGGGGTAGCCAGCCCCCATGTTGTGAAGGACACTCAAGCAGCCACGTGGAGGGGTCCATGTGGGGAGGAACTGAAGACTTCTGCCAAAACCAGCACCCACTTGTCAGCCAAGTGAGTGAACCACCTTGAAAGTAGATTCTCTAACCCTAGTACAGCCTTCAGATAATTGCAGCCCTAACTGATATCTTGACTATAACTTCCTAAGACATCCTGAGCCAAAACTGCCCTGTCAGAATCCTCCATATCTACAGAGACTGTAACAAATATTAATGATTTAAGCCACCAAGTTTTGTGATAATTTGTAACATGGCAATTGATAACTCGTGCGAAGTCTGATCACGGGAAGGCCTCTGAGCATAAGCTCTGTGGTTGGGACGCCTTTGTGCACTGTATCCTGGGAAGTCAGAGGGGCAGTTTTCTCATTCTGTATAAAGGAGTTGGCAAACTAGAGCCCATGGACCAAGTCCAGTCCTCTTCAGGTCAAATATGCCCACACCATTTGCTTAGATATTGTCTATGGCGGATTTCTTTTTATTTTTTAAAAAATATATTTTTATTGATTTTTAGAGAGGTAGGGAGAGGGGAGAGATAGAAAAATCAATGAGAGAGAATCATTGATCAGCTGCCTCCTGCACGCCCCCTACTGGGGATCGAGACTACAACCCAGGCATGTGCCCTTGAGTGGAATCAAACCTGGGATCCTTCAGTCCGCTCTATCCACTGATAGGGCGGATTTCTTGCTGCGGCGACAGAGTTGAGTAGTTGTGACAAACTGGATGGCTCAAAAAGCTGAGAATATTTACTGTTTAACCCTTTATCGAAAAAACTCACTGACTCCTCTCCTAGTGGAATCTACAGTCTGATGGCAAAAGGTCTCTCATGCATATAAAAACAGATATACACATCCTCCCCACACAAGATCCTGAAGTGCACACATGCTACTTCATCTGCCTGGAGAGCTCTCTACCTTCTTCATCTGGCCAACTCCTACTCATCCTTCAAAACTCAGTTTAGATGCTATCTTCTTCCATCCAACCTTTCCCTGGTGAAATCCCTCTCCAAGGTTGGCTTATACATCACCTCCTTCCCCTACTCCCCCAAGGTAGGCAAATTCTAACAGCAATCTTTCAGAACTCTAACCAATCACAAGATGTGGTTTTACTTAGTGTCTTTCTCCACCCCTAGACCGTGAGTTCTATAAGGACAAGGACTGTGTGTTTTTCATTTTATAACCTCGGAGCAATATACCTTCATTTATTCACTGCAGAAGCTTATTGAATGCTTATTGTTTGCCAGATAACTTACTGACACCAGGGTACACAAAGAAAGAGACCTTGCCCTTATGTTGCTCTAGAGTGGAAGTGGAAAAGCAAACTGGCATCCTATATAATAAAAGACTAATATGTAAATTGGCCCAACAGCAGACCAGCCAGGAGCTCTGATGCACACTGACCACCAGGGGGCAGATGCTCAATGCAGGAGCTGCCCCCTGGTGGTCAGTGCGCCAGAAGCTGGGCTCATGGCTGGCAAGTGCAGCAGTGGTGGTGGGAGCCTCTACTGCCTCCCTGGCAGCACTAAGAATGTCTGACTGACGGCTTAGGCCCGCTCCTCCCTCCCCCCGCCCAGGGGAGCAGGCCTAAGCCATCAGTCGGACATCCCCTGAGGGCTTCCGGACTGTGAGAGGGCACAGGCTGGGCTGAGGGACCGCCCCCCCCCCCAGTGCACGAATTTTGTGCACTGGGCCTGTAGTTAGGATATAATGAGATAGGGATGAGTGTAAGCTTGACTGTGAGCTTATTTGCTGTTACCATGTAAACAACTGCAAAAAAATGGTTTTTCAATATTTTTAGCATTTACTATATGATAGACACTGCGTTAAGCACTTACATATATTATAATTTATTTAATCTTTATACAACATGAAGCAAGTACTACAATTCTTTCCATTCTGTAGGAGATAGAGATCCATAGAAGCCAAGTAACTTGCCCAGGGTCACAGAGCTAAAGTGTCTTGAATGAATTTCAGAGTAATTATTTAGTTGAATAATTAATTCCAAATCCCAGAAACAACAAAGTATAAGGAATTGGGATAATGCTGTTCTTTTCCCTTTGAACACTAAGTGGATGGTTTCTGTCAAGTGGGAAATTCCTGCTTCGGAGGCTTTTTGATGACTTGTGCTGTGTTTGGCATTTTATTTCTAGGAATCTCTATCTGGAAAATGCTGCTGTTTTTATGATCAGGAATTCTGGTTTTCTCATTGAATTGCACCATTTGCCAATTTGAAGTCATCTCGAGTTATCAGTTCTACATTCCTAGGGTCCTGGGCTGGGGAAGGTGGGGATACATTCAACAGCAAAGTTACTCTCCAGTCCCCAACTGGGTTTCCACCTGTTTCTTGCCAAAGTCAATAGGAATATGGATTGTCTCAGCTAGGACGTGAGATGGGGCCCTGGTGCCCTCTTTCTGCCATCACTAGTCTCCAGCTGTGATCTCAGCTGTGGATAAATTGGTTCAAATATTGGGTGTCATTTTAAGAATTGGTTTAAAGTGATTGTGGTAGTGACTAATGATGCTGCTTCAGGCTTAAGGAAAACCACTGCCCCCTGTAGTATGAATCACTTAATTGCATTCTATTTTCCTTTCTAGGAATGAAGATAATGGAGCTCAAAGCTGGTTCCTTTTTACAGCATATAAGCGGTATTATGAACCACTTGTCTACTCTGTTCAGGTAGCTCATGTGTGCTTGGTTCAGCCTTTCTCCCAAAAGATGTAGTTGCTTTGTGGTAAAGACTGGGGGTGGCGCAGTGGGAGAAATCCCCTGCTGAGGACAGTGACAGGTGCTGAGAGCAGGTGTGTCAAGGGTTTTCGCTCAGCAGTTCCATGCGGAGGGACAGGCACAGGGTGAAACGATGAGGAATGGCTGTCAATGTAGGTGGGAGAGGGAAAGGCTGGTATATCCCCCATGTTTATCTGCATACTCACCCTCATTCAACAAGTCCTGATGGAATCAATTATGTACCAGACCTTGTTAGCAATCAGGTCCTGGAGTTTACAGTGGCTAATGAGACAGGCATGGTTCCTAAAATAGGGGAGAGACAGGGGCAAGAGTGAGGCACATCTTACTCCTGCTGGAGCAGTGGGGAAGATCAGAAAACAGAAATCAGTAACTAAAATGATTGCAAACTGTGATAAATGCTAATAGGAAAAAAAAGAGTGGGATATTATAGAGAATAATGGAGTGTTCGGATGGGATAGGACATTTACTTTCAATGGAATAATCAGAAAAGGCCTCTCTAAGGATGTAAATGATTAGACTTAAGGGATAGTGGACACAAGTGATAAAGAAGCCAAGAGAGAATTCCAGGCTGAGGGACCGGGTTATGCGAAAGCTCTAAGCCTGAGGTCAACGCAGGCAAACTGAGTAAGCTAAGCTGTTCTTGGGGGACCTCCAGGCTCCCTGCCTGAACTGCTTTCTCCAGAAAGTGTCCACCCGCCCCAGGCCCAGCGCCTGCCAGTGCTTCCCTTTGTTTTATCCAAACGCACTCCTGGTGGGAGCTTGAGAACCAGGATCCACAGCTTCTCTGGGGCCTCAGCCTTCAGCTACACATAGTTCTGAGGCAGACCAGCATATTCGTTAAGAAAGGGGGACACTTATGGACTTGGGTTCCTTCTATTTTATTTTAGGGTGAGCGACATTGGTAAAACTCACTGTTACAAATTACTTAGAGTCTCTGAATTCAAGTGCTAACTTTGCTGCATAGGAGCTGTAACTATACATGTTACTTAACTGCCCTGTGCTTCCCTGTTCTGATCTGTAAAACAGGTCTTAAAAAAGCATCTACCTCATAGGATTGTTGTGAGAATTTAATTAGTTAACATTAGCTAAATGCTTAGAATAGTTACTGGGCACATAAACACTTAACAATCATGTTGTGACTATTATTAATAATATTATTATTATTATTACACCTAAGCTGTTGTACGTCCTGACACCTCAGATGGCAGTGAGGGTGATGTTATGCTTTCTCCAGGTGCTGGTCTCCCTGAAGTCAAGGGATAACCTGGGTTATATAATTTAATTCAGAAGTCATTTTTATACCAGATACTGTGCTGGACACTTTGCTACATCATTTCCTTTGATCCTCCCAACAATCTTAATGAGCAGGTAGTATTATAATCCCCATTTTATAGATGTAGAAACTCAGGTTTAAAGAGTTTACTTGACCTACCTGGCGCCATGACGCTACTATGATTCCTCGGTCCTCTGCTGAGATTCTACCTCAGTGGCCTGGTAAGGCCTCAGGATCCGCAGGGCAAGTACCTTTCCCAGGCTCCCCAGATCTGAGGAGTGTGACCTCTTCACTGCCCTTCACTTCGAAAGACTCCAACCCAGGTGATCTCTAGGGCTCCCTCTGGCTGCAAAGTCCATGAAAATAATAGTCCATACATGCTGAATACACAGTTTAGTAAGGAAGGCAGTTTGCAGTTGTTAATATTGTTTTATAAGAGAATCAACTCAGTTCTTGGCATTGGTCCCTGCTATGGTCATTGTCTAGCAGGCACACTGGGGCTGAAAAATGTCTTCTGAGTGTTTTGCCTGATGTAATTCCAGATCACAATTTCTCATTTCCAGTTCCATAATAAAATAAGATAACCAAAAGTCTTATGTTTTGGGCAACTCATTTCATACTCAAACCTGACTGAACTGAAGTAAGGTTATTTGCAGAGGTCATTGAAACCACGTGCTGTGAATATTTATACATGGCCCTGCAAAATTTTCAATATGCTTGATTAGGGGTTGTATGAATTATCTTTAGTTACATAAATCACCCCAATACTTAATGGCTTAAAACAACAAATATTTATTATCTCATAGCTTCTTTGAGTCAGAAATTCAGAAATGGCTTAACTGGGTAAATTTGACTCAGGGACCTACAGTTAAAATGTTGCTGGGGCTGCAGTCATCTGAAGGCTTGACCTGGTTGAGGGGCTCTCTTGCAAGACAGCTCACTCATATGCCTTTTATGACCTAGTCTCGGAAGCATCACACTGTTACTTTTGCTTTGTCCCATTTCTTAGAAGAAAGTCACCAGAAGAGGAGATTTAGATTCTACCTCTTGAAGAGTATCAAACAATTTGTGGATCCATTTTTTTGTCTTGTTTTGTTTTTGTTAATCCTCACCCAAAAATACTCCCTCACCCACCATTGATTTTTTAGAGAGAGTAGAAGGGAGGCGGAGAGATGAAGAGAGACACATCAATTGGTTGCTTCCCATACCAGCCCCGGAATTGATCCTGAGACCCTTCAGTTCACAACCCAATGCTCTAACCACTGAGAAAACCAGCTAGGGCTGTGGACCCATTTTAAAACGAGCACAGGAGTGCTACCCATATGTGGTCTGTTACAGACACAATATGGAACAGTATTATCATACTAAAGAATTCAATAAAGCATACTGAATAATTATGAGCTGCCTTTGGCACCATTTTGTGTAACGGGTGATGGTTCTGTAGTATCATCATAAGCCTACCACTATAAATAAGCTAAAGAAACAGAATGTTTTAGAATATTTGCAAGCTGGAAGGAACCTCATGGGTTATCCAGTAACTAGAGTTCTGCTTCAACTCCTTCACTCTACAGATGAGTAACTTGAGAGGAAGAAATGTTTGCTTAGAACATAGTGAACTATGTTTCAGACATTGCTAAATGCTTTAGGTATGTTTTAAAAAAATATTTTTTATTGATTTCAGAGAGGAAGGGGGAGAGAGAGAGAGAAACACCAATAATGAAAGAGAATCATTGATTGGCTGCCTCCTGCACACCCCACACTGGCGATTGAGCCACACCCAGGCATATGCCCTGACCGGGAATCGAACCATGACATCCTGGTTCATAAGTCAATGCTCAACCACTGAGCCACGCCCGCTGGGCCTTTAGGTATGTTTTATTACGTTCTCCCAGTTTTACTACTAAGGAAAGTAAGGATAAAGAAGTGAGTATTGTGTCCTAGATTATAGAGCTAAACCCCCTGTCTCCCAAGTGCCAGCTAGGGCCCGGCTGCACATGTAACACCCCCACTCATGATCCCCAGAGGTGAGAGTAGAGCTGGCCAGCCTAGGCACCATATCCCTGGAGGGTCAAAGTGAAGATCTTCTGTCCGTACATCCAAAGTTCTCTCAAGTCTCTAGGTCTCATCTACCTTTTGCTTCCCCAGCTAGTGTCCTGCCCAAGTTTCTCCTCCAGGAACCAGACAAGAGCCCTAGAAGTTGCAGAGGCAGTGCCCCCACAGCCCATTACCTCACTCTCAAGTTTGGATTCTGAACTTCAAACGGGGTAGGTGCTACTGACCTGTGACCTTGGGATGCCCTCTCAGGGTCCCTTGGATACATGTCATGTTCACACTCTCACCTAAGACATATTCAAGGATAGGGCCTCATCCCAGGGGACCATCACTAGAGAGAGTCTTTCTAAGGTCTGCCAGTTTTAAACTCTAAGGATATGCCGTCATTAGGAATCTGAGTTAAAAAGTCAACAGTGGTTGTAGTTACAAAGTCAGCTAGAACTCTTTTATTGAGACATATCAGAAAATCTAATCCAAAAGAATACTACCTACAGGGGACTTAACTGCAAAGTCCAGATGTAGAGGTGATTTCAGGTGTGGCATGTTACAGGAAATGAAACGCTCCAAACGGGCTCTGTTTCTTTCCTCTTTCAACTCTGTTAACTCTGTTGACTCAGACCGTCTGATCTGGTCCCCGCACCCATCACTATCACCAGAGGGATGCAATTTTCTCATTGGCTAGGGCTGGGTCACATGATACTTCTGGACTCGGGTTGGGCAGGGCAGGAGTAGAGAGCACCAAATAAAAATCTGCAGGCTCTTACTGGAAGTAAAATGAAAGGATGTTCCCAATAAATTTGACAAACATTTAAGCTCTTATTATGTGCCAGGCTCGGTGCCAAGCACTCTACATGCACGATCTCATGTAATCTTTATAAACAACTCTATGATGTGTATTGGTATTATCCCATATAATAGAGAAGAAATGGAGGCTCAGAGAGCGTAAGTAACATGCGCAGTGTCACCCAGGTCTTAAGTGATGGGGCTGAGTTTGAACTGGTTCTCTCTGATTCAAAAACCATTCTTTTTTTTTAAACAGTTTATTTTTTATTTTAAAAAAATTTAAGATAGAGGAAAAGGGTGAGAAAGATACATCCATTTGTTGTTCCACATTTATGCTTCATTGGTTGTTTCTTGTATGTGCCCTGACCTGCAATCAAACCTGCTCTTGTTGTTAATCCTCACCTGAAGATATTTTTCCATTGATTTTTTGAGAGAGTGGAAGGGAGGGGAAAAGACACAGAGAGAAAAACAACGATGAAAGAGACACATCGATTGGTTGCTCCCACATGCACCCTGACCGGAGCCAGGGATAGTGCCTCCAACCAAGGTATGTGCCCTTGACCGGAATCAAACCCGCAGTCCTTCAGTCTGCGGACCTACGCTCTATCTCCTGAGCCAAACTAGCTAGAACAGCCGTGGGCAAACTATGGCCCGCGGGCCGGATCCAGCCCATTTGAAATGAATAAAACTATTGAAAAAAAGGACGGTACCCTTTTATGTAATAATGTTTACTTTGAATTTATATTAGTTCACACAAACACTCCATCCATGCTTTTGTTCTGGCCCTCCGGTCCAGTTTAAGAATCCATTGTGGCCCTCGAGTCAAAAAGTTTGCCCACCCCTGGGCTAGAACCATTCTTGTTCCATTTCATGATGCTGCTGGTTGCATCAGTGTTCCCTAGTCATTTAGGCTGGAAACATCAGTCTTTTCAACATTTCCTATTCATTGTCCACATTAATTAGTCATCAAACCCTACCCGCAGTGGATCTCAGCTGTCTGTTCCCATCTTCTATACATATTGCCCCTCTCCTAGATAAGGACTTGATCACTTTTTTCCCGAATGATTACAATAGCTTATAACACACATTTGTAAATTAAAATAAGGGCCATTTTAACTTACAAATGTATATTAAAAGTTAGAATTACATATAAATCTATATCTCCTGACATTCTTTGAAAAACAGAAAAATTTGGTAACAGTGGACCCACAACCTACATGGCAACAATGGCTGAAACTGAGCAGCATCTGTGCACTGATGAGAAGAAGGCATCAGTGGTTCAGCTGACCAGGTTCCTGTTGCTTCTTTGCTCCTCCTCCCTCATTTAAATTTCTTGCCTGCCCGCTGTAGGCATCTGAGTTTGCCAGTCTAGTATCTAGTCTCTTCCCATTTCAACCCCCTTTCCTGTGATCATTAGAGTTATCTTCCTAAACCATGATCTGATTATTTCACTTTTATATTCAAAAACATTTAGTAGTTCCACACAGCCTATAGGAACATTACAAGCTCCCTTTTCAGACCTGTGTCCATCTGAACAAGCCTCCACACACTCTTCACACATACCTTTCTGTAATGTGCTCACCACTCGCTCTCCCACTGGTGTCTGCTCAAGTCTTATTCTCTGGGCCCCTAATGTCCTTTCTTTGTCCTTTCTGTGCCCCCCACACAACTTTTCTGTGACCAAGTCAATTCCTACCTCCTCCAAGATCCCTTGTTAAATCCCCTTCATCAGTATCAATGCGTTCCTACTCCATACACTATCAAGTGCATTATTTTTGAGCCCCTATAGTGAGTGACATCATCATAGTACATATTTTTATAATCAGTCAAGTTAATACTATGGAACATACGTGCCAGGCACTTTTCTGAGTGTTTTACCATCACAATGGCTTTTGGATGCAGATTCTGTTATCATTACCATTATACATTGAGGACACAGAGAGACTAAGTCATTTGCACAGGATCACACAGCTGGGAAGCAGTAGAGTTAGCATTGGAATCCAGGCAGTCAGGCCCCAGAGCCCAGGTACATAATCACCACCTTATACATTTATCCAGGACACATTTGGAAAAACCTGCTATTTGCCAGGCACTGTTGGAGGTGTTATGTGGGGCGCGGCTACAGTGTTTTGGCCAGGTTCAAACCTCGGACTAATGAAAGGGCAGGGTCCTCTCATTGCCACGCGCAAGTCCCAGCTGAAAGGGCAGGGCCCTCCCAGCACAATTATAGCCAACGGCTATGGTTGTGAGCTTGAACCTATGGTCCGAACACGCAGCCCCACGTGCCTTGTGGTAGAGTTCAGGTGCATGTAGTTGAGTAGGGTTGGAACTCAT